GCTATGAAAATTTCAGCTATTTTTTCAACTTCAATTTGCAGCTTGTCTTGTGAGCTACTTGAGTAACCGGAGTGTCTTGATTGTGTATCTTCCTTAGGAAATTGACAGGAGCCAGCGTCCTCCTTTAGTGACTTTGGGCGTCTTCTGCTCCTTCAAGAAACTTTGGTTGTAATGCCTCCCTTAGGAAACTGACAGGAGCCTGGGTACCCTTTGAAGGACTCTGGCGTCTTCTGCATTTGTCGAATGACGCTTTCATGTGACCATCCTGCCTCCCTTAGGAAACAGATAAGAACCTAGATTTCTCTTAAGAAATTTCCGGCGCACCCTACATATCTCGAAAGACGCTACTTATGGGTTGAGTCTTCCAAATGACAATTTTGGCCATCACCCTGCGTCTCCCAAAAGACGATGCTTATGGGCAACTGTGTGACTATTATGCCCCCCCTTAGGATACGGATAGGGAGCTGGAAATCTCCCTTAGGAAATTCCTGACGCATCATGTGTCTCCCGAAGGACGCTTCTTGTGGGCTGTGTGCCCCGAAGGACGCTGTGTGACCATCCTATATCCCTTAGGAAACAGATAGGAACTTGGATACCCCCCTTAGGAAATTCCTAGCGCACTCTGCGTCTCTCGAAGGGCGCTTTTTGCGGGGCTGCGTCTCCCTTAAGACGCTCCATAGGCAACCATTTTTGTGTGTGGCACATTATGGAATTTGCAGCAGTTGCTTCTCTTCTTCGTAAATATGCAGGGCTTAGTCCTCTGCTTGTGTTTGTGCCTAATAAATCACGGCCAAGAACTGACCGAGGGAGCCCCTTTTCTCGACCCTAACACTTGCTCGTAAGGCTAAAACGCGACGTTTCGCCAAGATGTCTGGCCTTCCTAAAAAAGCAAAGGAAAAGTTGTGAAGGCATGATCATCTCGGCCTTGATTATAGGCCGAGGCCGAAGCCGAACAAAATCACGGCCAAAGGCACTAAGGTCAGATCATCAAGTGGCAGCAGGGTCCCACGCTTCATTTAATGAAGCAATGCCTCTGTTTATGGTAGCAAACCCACTAACCACGAATAAGCATTTAATGCACGAGGGAAGGTGGGAAGTGATTGAAGTCAGGGTTTGGTGACAGGAATCATAGTGATTAGACGCAGACATTCTCACAAGAATTCTTGCAGTTTGAGAGATTGGGCCACCAA